AGAAAATTTGCGAAAAACCGCGTACTCTGATGTATTAGAAAGTCGGGGTGTTACAACAAAAGTCTGCTTGCATTGATGGCCAAGCGTAAATTTCTCGTCGCTCTTGAAATAGATTCCCTTCTCACGTCGGCGCTTTATTTCCTCGGGCGACAAGTGTTTGACTTCTGGTCTCGGTGGTCGCGCGCTATTGGTCGGTCGAGAGCTATCAGGAGGTCGGCCGCTCGGAACCATATTGCTTTCATCTGGTTATGCGCATCGCGTCTCGGGGTAGCGTGCATCTGCCCGTCCCCTTTGAGTTTCCACAAGATGATGTGCTCGGCGTCGGGCCACTTCCATAGCCGCATGTATTGATTCTGGTCTCTCTAGGCGAACCTCCACGGCTAGATCATACTTCAGCCCACCAATAAATGCCCCAACCAACGCAGTCTCGGGCCAGCCTCGTACGCGACATGCCAACCGCTCGAACTTTTTAAGATAGTCGCGCAAGCTACCGGTCTGTCGTATGCGGGATAGCGCCTCGTCGTAATTGTGGTAGTCGGATGAGCCGAAGCACGTGAGTAACTCGCGCTCGAAATTGTTCCATCGGATGACTCGTTGTCGGCTCCGGTATACGCTAGTAAGCCACTGCCACCACACGTTGGCTTCTCCATCAAGATAATAAGCAGCGTACCTTACACGATCATGTCCTTCGGTCTCGTTGAGATCAAAGTATTGAATGGCTCGGTTGAGCCAAGCCTCAGGATCGTGGCCGTTGAAGGTGGACAGCGTGATCCTCGGCTTCTCGGGCTTCGGGCGGTCATGATAGTTGGACGCCTGGGACCGTCGGTCGAAGTCCTCCTCTTGATCTCGCTCCTCGCGTTGTCGCTCTTCCTCCTCGGGTCGCTCGTGGCGTCGTTCGAGATCCCGATCCTCACACCGCCGCGCTTGGTCATTATCATGCTCTCGCTCGCGCTCGCAGCGTCCCTCATGCTCAGGCCGCTCGCGATTGGGCCGTCGGGGCGGTGATTGGTGCGCCAACATGTTGCGTGCCATCTAATCGAACCTTCGATTCATGATCTCCATCAATTCACAAACGGACGCCTTTTTGGTATCGAGACCCTCGCCTAGGGTATTCATAGCCTCGCTCATACTTCGGACTTTAACATCGAGATTATCGATCTTGTCCTTCATCTCCTTGTTGGTCATGGCTTCTAGGACTCGTGTTGAAGATGATTGTATAAATATATATATATATATACATATATATATAGGAGGGGGGACGAAAAATAGGAAAAGAAAAAGAAAGGGAATGGGGTAGAAGAAAAACACACAATCGACACCTCTCAACGAAAGCACCAATGATGAGGATCGTGTGTTTCGACTGCCGATAAACCGCTAACACGCGCCTTGAATCGCCGATAGTGTAACACCCCGAGTTTTATTAATAAAGGAATTACTAGCTTTTAATATTAAGCTAG